TCGATAACCCTGTTGTAGCACATGTGGTCTTACCAGAATAAGGCTAAACACACTCTTTTTTGCCTTTTCTTTTTGGAAAAGGAATCATGCATCACGAGTGCTTAGGAAGTTGAAAGTAAAACTCCTTTTAAATTTACATTAGCAGTGAGAAGGCTGTTACAACAATAGACTTCAGTGTAGCTAGTTCTTCACCTTGAGTCATAGTGACCTTTATGGGTGGCTTTCCAAGTAACTTTCCCTGCTGACAGTTACTGTCTTTGGACCTGCTGAGGCAGCACTTTTTCAGAAGCTATTTGCAGCTGGCTCTACCACAATATTTCCCTTGTCTTTCTCTCTCGCATTTTCACGAGCCGTTCTGCTCATAAGATTTAAATGTAATTGATAGTCTTCCTTTACCCCAGCATGATGAGTGCAAGACAACTCTACATATTAAAAAACCTGTCCTAAAGCTCATTTATGATATTAGTTTTAAAGTTAGGAGTCACATTTTTCCAACAGTGATATTGGCTGCAGGATTTAAGACCTTAAAAGCCTTTATTTTTTGGAGCTGCTAAGGAACTGCTGTCTGATAAAGCAAGACATCTTAAAATTCTCAAAATCTAGTACCCAATAATTTAGCTTCTCTGGACTTGCATTACTTACAGCATGTTTGTGTTTTGTGGGAGTGGAAACAAAGGGCCTAATGAACAGGAATAGGGGTGTTTTTCTCATCAAGGATCCTTATTCTTCTGTGTGTACATATTTAGGGATTTTCAAGTTAAAATAATTAGTATTTTGTACAGTATTAAGCCTGGCCAAACAATGAATGACATCTATTGTCAAATAAGACAAAAATATCTATCTTGATGTTTTTATTCAAACAAAAATACATTACATTTAAAACTGCATAAAAAGTAAAGAACTATTTCCTGAAGTTTCCAAAAAGAATCTACAAATTCATGTCTTTCTACTTGAAATGTCCAAAAAGGTATTTATGAATCCTCTCCCATGCCAACCAACCTATATTTCAAGTTACATTACTTAGCAAAAAACATTTCACAGCTGAACAGCAATTCTCAAGCATTTGCTGCATGCATTACCCAATATCTTTAGTTGTGAACAGATAACAGTCTTATATAGATAGACTTGTCTAATCCAATCATTTGTAAATGACACTAGTTAATATGTTTACTTCACAGAGTTATTTGCCAATCGATCACCTATATGTCCTTAGTAATGTAGGTTAACTCTAAACATTTCTCACACTTACTGGCATTTCTATAAATTCCACTCAAATTAAAGTATTGTACAGTGTAAGTTGTTAAGAATCTAGCAATATCAAGGTAAAAAAAATCTAAAAACAAATGTGGCCTTACTGGTTACTTTCTCCTCAGAAATAAAGATTGATACACATATTATACAGCCCTCTGTTATTTGAACCTGAAATTCTAATAAGATGGCATCTTAAATGATATGAGTTCAGTTGTAAGAATAAAGGATTGTTTGCTTTATACTCTAGAACAAAAAGTTTGGTTTGTGTATTTGATTATACATAATTGGACCAAAATGCCTCAGTAGAAACAGCCATACAACACAACATAAGAAAAGCTATGAAACTATCAAAACTCAGTCAAACTTTAAGTAGATATAATAAAGACAAACATATTCATAGCATTTGTATATATTCTGGTGCATGTTTAATTTTGTTCTGGACTCTACTGTGTGAGAAACAGGCATAGGCCTTCGAAGTTAACACTTTAAATTTTGCCTCCCACTACTTGTTTGGTAGTTTAATTAGTTTTCAGCCCACATCCTCTCTGTTTGCCTAAAATAACCTCTGCAGTTGTGAATGGAGTTTGACACATATATAAAACCCAAGTGTCACAGTAGACCATAGATGGGCTATAACTATGTCCATGGGTGGTCCTCACTAGTCCTATGGTATTGGCTCCTCTGACCTTTTAACTTATATTAAGACAGACAAATATTAGCTACTTTTAATATTGCTTTTCCAGAAAAGCAACTGCTGCTGCTGCCATGGCAATATTCAACTATTATAACTGGCACATGAAGTTGTCCATATCAATGCCTGGGTTGCCAAGATACCTGGAGGTCTTTCTGCTTATAAGTCTCCATATTGTGACAGAAATTGTCTTCTCTTAGCTTACAGATCATGTTTTGTTGACCTCTGATGGCTGCTAAGTGCAGTGCATGACAGTAACATTTGGATGCCAAGACTCTTAGGCCTATTTGATCATGCACCTGCAAGTTTTGCATGCCTAGCTCCCACTTATAGGTAGAGTTTCAGTTGTATAAGGCTACTGAATTAGTAGCCAGTTGCATATCTGAGATAGTGGGGAGCCAATGTAGATTATGAGCAGAGATCCTGGTTTTCTCTGATCCCCTCCCAATTTTCAGATTAAAAGTAGTAACCCAAAATCCGCATTTTTCCATGATTAAAATTAAATGCCACATATATACATATATATATACACCCACACCTCCACCCACCCACATACACATCTATACACACAGTATTGTTTCATTTTAATCACAGAAAAATATGGATTTTGGGTTACTTTTTTAAAACTGAAAATCGGATTTTTTTTTTTAAATCAGAGAAAAACTCAAGATACCTGATTATGAGTATTGCCTGCTGAAAGAAAAACTCTTAAGGGATGACTGTTTGAGCAGTACTTCAAAGTCTCCTGAGAACAATACACTAAATTATTTGAAATAGTGAAAAGCCAAAATGGACAATTCTGTTTAGTCAGTCACCTAACTTCAGAGGTAAGGAAGCTGTTTCCTGCCACTGAAAGCAACAAAAAAGAAAATCCCTGCCTTCCTGGGCCTCTTGGGCCAAATTGTAATGCCCAGGAGGAGAAGATAACAAACTTGACTATGTCCCATTCCAGAAGCCATCTTGTGGAACTAGAAAGCATTTTGCTGAAACCAAAGGGTAGTGCTATTTTTTTTTAATTTGCCGCCTCCTTTTTTTTTTTTTTAAAAGAAATATAGGATTACTGCCATCCCACAAAGCAGCAGGTATCAAATTAACACACTGCATGGAATTTTCCAGTGCCATATGGAGTTTATACATTCAGTTTGTAGCTTGCAAAAAAAGGAAAAAAGAAAAAAAACCTGTCCAAATTCAGGGACTAGCATATTAAAAACTTAAAACACTCACAGGTCCAGGCACTCCACTTCATTGGCCACTTCTAAACTATGCCAATTTGACTGCTGCAGGATCTGAATGAGATGCAAAAGATCAAAAAAGAAGCTGTTTACCCTCCCTAGTTGTAGCTATTTATTTATTTTTAAAGAAGATCCATTCCAGGTACAGTGTAAAAAGCCTTTAGACAAAAAACAGACTTCTAAAAATAGGGCTGTTGGACCTACCTATATAAGCTGAAACATGTTTCTCCAAGGATGGTATTCTTGAAAAGCTACACCATTTCAGAGTTATACTCAATATTCTGTTCACTCATTCCTTTCACAGTTATCTGGCATAAGTGACTTTTGGCATTCTGCCTTACTTTTTGGTGTTATTATTTTGTGTGTGTTTTTTTTTTTTTTTTTTTAAATGAAACATCAGTTTAGTTTTTCTATCATTATGTTTTCTGTGACACAGGGTTTTAAGCCACCTGGGCCAGGGACTGTTACCTATTAACTGTACAGAGGCAGACATAATGGGAATCTTTAACCTTGGGGCTTCCAGATTCTACCCTTAAAATGAACTGAAAATACTTGTCTATTCTTAATATCAAGTGTCATTAGTAAGGATGTACCTAAACCACACTGAGGCGAAATAAAAATAGCAGGCCACTTGCAATGTACAGCACCATTTGCACCGTCTTTCCTGGTGCTCCATCCCCCCCAGTGGCCTTGCCCCTCACTATTGACTGGCCAAGAGAGCTAGCCATCATGTGGTCCTGCCCCTTGCTGCTGATTGCAGAGGGACAGGGCCATACAATGGGCAGCCTCTTGATCAATGAGCAGAGAGGGACAGGGACGGGGGGGCAGCCACAATCTTTCCTGGCAATTCCATGCCAAAATTGCACGGAATTGTCATTTTTGTGGAAGCCACGTCTTTGTGCCCTCAGCCTAGCAGGTTTTTTTGTTTTTGTTTTTTTTTTAGCAAATAGTATTTATGAACACATGCCTTAAGAATTTGTTCCTTACTAAGTTTTATAGATACTTGATCTGTCATCAGTCTCACTCACTCCTTGTACTAAGTTTGTCTGGAGCATAGGAGTACAGGGATACAAACATCCTTCAGGTCACAACAAGCATCAACCCTGTAACGAAACATATTTTACACAATCTTTGGAGAGCCAGAGGAAGGACGGTTAAGCATTTGAATTTTGTAGCTCTGCTTGTAAGGGAAAGAACAACCCTGCATCACTTATACTCCAATTAAAAAAAAAATAAAAATCAAACCCTTCTGCCCCAAAATACTTTATTTTTACACTGCCAGTGGCTTCCACAGCAGTAAAATTGAGATTTGCTCTGCAATGAATTATGAGTAGTGTATGAGACTACAAGGCATTTTCTAATTCACAGAGCGATAAATTAGCAAGTCAGGTCCTTACTTAGGCAGAGAGAGGACACTTTATCATGGCTAACAAACAAGTCTTCAAGAGACCAATATGATCTCTTCCATGTACTCTCTTCACTTCCATTTCTAAGGATCATGGAAGGGGTTTGTCTTCCTGAAACTGGCAGGATGACTGCTTTGGAAAAGCTGTCAGTGTTCAAAATTTTCTTATTTTTAGAGTATCATACTGAATATGTGACAAAACATTAGAATATGCTCTCAGCAGCATGCTAGGCATCCTACCAACATCACTGGAAGCCAGACCTTCTTCCAACAAAGTCATCAAACCAAATCCACCCAAGTGATGTAAAATAAATTCATCCATCTTATAAAAGAGTGGGAACTAATCTTGCCTGCCCCCTCCTAGTAAAAGTTAGGCTAGGTGTTAATTGTATGAGACTGTCGCGGAGTCTCATTTTTACAGGATCAAAAATACCAAGTTACTTCTGGATGAAAGCAATGGATGCTCTAATTTTAATTCTTTCTGAAGATTTTTTTTTCATTGGGAGACTTATCACAATGAATTTTAACAAAGATTCATGCCTTTGATTTTGCTTCATAATTAATAAACAATTCTTTCCATCAGTTCCCAATAGCTACATTCTGTTGAGCTGTGAATAAGATAGTTACAGTTTCATTATTTTCAAAAACACAGTTAAGGTGCTGGTGTTCCAGCTGAAAAACCTGATTAATTTCACAGTTAGGAATCCTCCTCCTCACTCAAGAAACCTCTACTGGTTGGTAAAACAACTCTTTTTTTCTAGTGAAATGGATCATAGGAAACTTTTTTGTAGTGAATCATGACTTGCCACAAGGTTAGGCTTCAGCACAGAAATCTGTTTTCTGAGAACCTGGAATCATTACTACTAAAATGTTTCATACTATAGAAGTTAAGCACAGTCTTTTTCAAAGGGCTATTTTAGATGCTCAAGGATGAAAGCTTTAACAAATCACAGGAAGAATAATTGATTTAATACAGCAGATGAAGAAAATGCTTTACTATCTTTGGCTATCTACAAAATAGAGCTACTGTCTAAAAAGCTACTGTTGAAAATAAGCATTTTTTAATAAATGTTTAATACTTGCTGTAAGTGGATAAGTACTCTAGGGATTTCTTCAATCCTTCAAAAACAATATTCAAGTGTTCTATTAAGTCTGCTATGGAATAAATTTTGTATCATCTATTGAGTCTTTTAAAATATTAAAGGAAGCATCTCAGGCCTCTGGTAGATGTTATGCTTAAGACAATTAACCTTTTAATCACATCTTAAATAGTAACCTAGCCACACTTTCAGGCAATTAAGAGCATAACAAAACACAAAACCAACCACAAAAATGTATTCACAAGGTTAGTAGTAATTTTGTGGTTGGTTTTCATTTTACCTGAAACTGAACTTGTGGAAGGGTTCTTGTTTTTCTTATACCCCAGTGTTAATGCTCTACCCTCTCTCACAAGCTACATGCAAGTGTTCCATTATCTGCCATGGTAAACTGGATGAATGAAAAACAAAAACTTTAAAATCAGTCTAATCTGTGCTAGCTCTTAAAACCAAAACCACACATTTTTACTTATAAAAAGTTAGTCCTTCTCTAGAAAAGGTAACTTAAAAATGCAGCTCTATACTGTTACCATCAATTTCCCCTGTGATATTTTTCATGTTGGCAATACATTCACAATCAACACTTCATAATACTTGTTTATACCTGTCCTAGTCAAGGGTTAAAAAAAGCCATTGTCCACAATTCATTCAAGCTCTCCCCTTCTTGCTAACACCAAAAAGCTAATTGTTTCTGGGAAGTGGGAAACAGTATGTATAGTGACACTAGAGTAGGTCTGCTAAACTCAGCCAATGGTAAGAAGAAAATGGAGCCTAGGTTTTCTAATAAAGCAGTCCTGCAGTTGAGTAGAAAGACAAGTGGTATTTGTCCTGAGAATACATTAAGACAAACCTAGTTTAAATCTTCATGGGAATGGGGGAAAGGAGGTACCTGAAGGCAACAGCAGCCAGGGCCAAGTTCTGTCAATCCGTCAGTCAATAACACTCATATGAAGTGTCTTAAAAAGTTAAACAAAAGCCAACTACTCATTTCACAGCAGGCAACTTTTTCCCTCTAGCTTAGGCTTCATTCTTAATGCACAAGTATTGCATTTTTAATAATTAACTATTTTAAAAAGAAAGAATTTCCAAAGAAATTAAACAAACTGTGCCCATATTTCTTCATAGGTACTCATATTATGAACTGGCTGGCCAGTCTGAAGTACAGTGAGGTTTAGAATCAGAAATGAGGTTGACACAGCCAGCTGAGTCTCTTCATTTGGAAGATCACAGCAGTTTGAAGAACATTACAATACTGACACATGCAAAATACCAATTAAACAAACAAACAAACAAACAAAAAAAAAGAGTCAGTCGCTTATTAAAGTCCCATACTAAACAGCTTCTCAAGGAATTTGCTTCTTCACACCTACCTCTATCCTCTGCCCAAAGACAAAAAGTAGATAAACTAAGAATTGACTACCCCTGCTAAACAGAACAGATCATACTGATCCTATAATCAAACAGTATTGCATTAGCAACAAAAAAGTTGGAACGATTTAACGTATTCTGTAGGTAAATATACAACAGGGGATATAATCACACATAGTGTTCTCTAGGATTGATGTATATTCTTCCAGCTCCTGGGTTTTGGTTTTTGGAACTCCAGTCCTGGTAACGCATCTGCTTGTAAATTGGGTACATTTGTTGAGAACCTTCTTGTCCCAACTGATCTCTCTCATCATAGGTAAGTTGCCTGCCACTTATTGGTTTCTAGAATACAAGAAATATTAGAATACTCCATTAAAATACTTTCATTTTGCAAATATTTCTTCTACACATTCTCTAAAATGCCATGCATCCACATCTGCGCCCATTCTTTACTCTATTTCAAGCTTCTAACAAGACTTTAGAGGTGTTTGAGTACCTAGTTCCTACTGAGATGAACAAGGTGTTTGGCACCTAAATATCTTCAAACATTTGGCCTTTATTTAAAAAGAAGAGACTCAACTATTCTAGGTGCTATAATTAAACTGGAGAAATATAATCTGAGAAAACGTAATTTTCTGTTTGATTTTCCTCTTGAGATTGCACTGTGGAAAGCATCTTAAAAGGGAACAAAAGGAAGTCTCCCAAGATCATGAGAAAGTACACAGCAGCCGATGTACTGCAACTGTTACATCTGCATGACTAGTCATCCTAGTGAACTAAATCATATTAACTGACTCTGGATGAAGTAGGGTTACAAGCATTGCAAAACCGATCTAGTTGTATCACTATAGAACGGTGCAGACATTTAGTTATAGCATAACGTAATAGTTTATATCATTTGATAGGTATAGTTATGTCCATCTATAACAGAAGTGATTCTATCAAATGGCTTTAATTTTTCTTCTTCACCAGTTATCAGTGTTGTCTAAAACTAATTTTAAAACATTAGATTTGAGTTACATTAAGCTTAGCTGATGCCCAGTATTGTGAGATGTAACTGATGTCTACATAACAGAACAAACCCACATATATAAATTGTTACTGACTAGGATGCCTAAGTCTGGAGTCTGTGGTTGATGATATAGCAAAAAAATGTTTTAAAAACTTCCATCAGATTTGTTTAGTGTCACATGATTGGGCTGTATCAAAAAATCATTTTACTTACTTTGTGCTGTGAATTTGAAGCTGCTCTCTCTCTGTATGGGCTTTGCAAAGGGAAATTCTCTTTCTGTAGGGAAGATAAATAATAGTGTAAGTGTGCTTCAACACTGCAAATAGGTTTGACCATGATTTCTGCTGAAAAGCGTTAAGTTAACAAGGTTTTCTACCTTGTCAAACATTGATTTGATCATTTTTTCTAGAGGAAAAATTTTGAATAGCCCTTATTTCTGATATTTGTGAAAGGTTTACATGGTTTTAGTTAGTTTAACCAATGTTATAGCTTTTCTGAGGAAACCCTTTAGCTTTGCTTCTATTCAAAGTTCAAAGAAAAAAAGTTACAGAAAAAGGTTTTTTTTTTAAATATCAAATCATCAACATGTATTAGGAATATTTTGTTGACTTATTTCTAGGGATCCTGTTTTTCTCTGATTAAAAAACAAAAAATCTCTGATCTTTGGATTAAAAAAAAAAGAAGTAACCGCAAATCTACATTGTTCCGTGTTTAAAATGAAATACCACCAATATATAGATATGCATACAGTAGTGCTTCATTTTAGTCACAGAAAAATGTCAATTTGGGGTTACTTTTTTTAAATCGAAAAATTGGGGGGGGGGGGGGGGGGGGGGTG